TCCAACGGGTTGCACGTGGAATATAAAATATCTTTTGGTTGGGGACCAATTTTTAGAAAAAGTCAAAAGGTTTTTGTTTGTCGTTTGAACTTGAGAATATGCTGTGGACGATGCTTGAAATAGTAGTAGAACTTCTTCGCCTGGACCCTTTACGGGTGTATTCTTTTTTTCTTAATTCAATTGGTAATTGTTTTCTTTTCTTTTCTTTTTTCCTTTTTTTCGCTTTTTTTTTTCCTTTTTAGAAAAAGCAATATTTTGGTATAAGCCGTCTTTAGTAGCGAGCACGCAATATTTTTTAGTAAAAAGCAAAAGAATAGTTTCGCACTGTGCTCCATACATGTTCGTTTCTAAGTAGAGTGAAATAAGTGAAAGAAATGAAGGGTAAAGTGCACTTTAGGATGGGTGTATATAACGCTAAATCATTAAAAAAAAAAGGTGTTTTATCCTTACATGGTTTGAGAAACGTATACTTAAATCTCAGGAATTAAATGTTAAAGGTGGAAAATAAAAAAAATATACACTTTTTCTTTTTTCTTTTTGTGTTTGAGAGTACCTTTTTTCTTCTGTTTTTCCCCCTTTTTTACCCTTTTTTTTTTACCTTTACGTAACTCCTAATATTTTATTATCTTGAGATTGAAGTACACGTTAAAAAGCACCTCTTAATTTGTATCTAATTGAAAATTACTAAAACAAAAACGTATATAAGAAGTTGAATTCCTCTTGAAATTTTTAAGGAGAATTAGGATGCTGTTAAAAGTATAAAGAGCTATAATTACTCGAATAGGAATATATTATATTATTATCCTGACAGCTGACACCTTAAAATGTCAGATATTGTTTTAAGGACTAGGAATCTGTTATATCCTAAGATTTAGATGAATATGATGCTGTCTTCTATGCTAAGATAGTGCTATATATTCTATTCTGACTATTAAAGGACTAATGGTCTGGTGGGGTAACGGCCCTTCTGTGAGTTGTACGTCTATTGGTGCAAGTTTGTTCTTCCTGTCTGTGGGAAGATGAGTATTTCCCTTTTCCTTGTCCAGTGGCAGCATATTCCACTTCCACCAAAGTCATATCGTCATTAGCAAGCCTTTCAAAAATCCTTTTGTTCCAAGAACCAAGATGCATGCACCAATCGATACCTAAATGTCTTTCTTTCCTCCTTTTTTAAAGGAGACAGGCACTTTATTCATTGCACTATTTATGATATTCTATTTCTAGTTGACCAAGAACTTTTGTTTTAGGTTCTGTTACTGTTCCTTTATCGTTATTCTGCAGTTAGTTATGGACAACCACCCGTTGGTAAATCATTGAAAACAAAACCGCTTAACTAGGGAACAAAAACTAAAGCAATTTTTATTCTCCTCGCCTGCCAATTTAACACGATCTCGCTTCTATTTACGGTGCTAATTAACATTTGTTATGGCTTCCACAAAAGATCTCTAATGATGGTTGCTTACATGATTGCTTTGAATGCATTTTTGGTAAAATTGGTTTCAGGAATCCATTGCTCTGCTGCTGAGCAACAAACCTCGAATCAAGGGAGACAACATGGAGAACCAAGCTAAGCCAGACGATGTTGAAGGAGATGATGGCAATGAAGATGAAGGAGATGATGACCCTGAGGGTGGAGACGGTGGCTTTGGTGAGGGCGAAGAGGATTTTTCCTCTGAAGATGGAGGGGATTATGGCAACAACACCAACAACGATAAGAGCAACAACTCAAAGAATGGTCCAGGTGATGGTGCTGGTGCTGGTGCTGGTGCTGGTGCCGGTGGTACAGAAGAGAATGGTGGAGAGGAAGATGATGAGGGCGGTGAAGACCGAGATGATGAGGAGGAAGATGATGATGAGGAGGAAGAAGAAGATGATGGTGGGGACGACGATGAGGAAGACGTCGAAGGTGTAGAGAATGAAGAAGAGGAAGAAGAAGAGGAGGAAGAAGAAGATGAAGCCCTCCCACCGCCAAAGAAGAGGAAGAAGTAAACTGGGCGCCCATTAGTAGAGCCTCCCAAAATATTATTTCTATGTAACTTGTTCCTCTAACATTATAGTCTTAGCCTGGTTGAGGAGGCCATCTAGTCTAGGTTAATGCTTTTATGCATGATTACGTTATTTCCCTTTCATGATTAGAGAACTGCAAAACTGTTGAGTAACGGCAACAATGAAATTGAGGAAGTGTATGATTATGCTACTTTACCTCGGTCGAAATAACAATATGGCTTCTGACTTGTGAGGAAACGAATCAACTTCTTTCAAGCACTTGAATATCAAGTTCGTGAACTTTTTAAACTTAGGGCACTTAGGTGTTAGTGATGTAGGCACCTATTAACCAAAAAAATATAACTTCCCTGCTATACAAATCCACTCTAGTCTATTAATAGTATGGTTATTGTCCAGATTTATAGTTAATAAATGTTATGAGCGAACCATTGTCGTATTATTTACATCCAGAAATCTTGGTACTAAAGCAAAAATCGAAAACCAACTATCTATGTACCAAATAAAGTTTCTATGTTCATCTAAGATTATCCATCATCTACTCAACCGGACTTAGGTTAGAAATATATAACAAAGAAAAAATTTTGCCTTTGTCATGGGGGACCATACAACACTAATGAAAGCCAAAGCTGGGTGGAATGAAGCTTAGAAAAATCATAAAATCAGAGCAACAAAACATTTCCTAAAAGGTTAACACCACCTCAAACACTGAATTAATCCAACATCCTTCAAAGTTAAAGCATAACAATGCTTCTAACTCGGAAACAATAAAAAATCCCAGGAAATAGGAATGGAATGACCCAAGACAACATTGACATGCTGGGAGTGCAGGTAGATTTAACAGACAACAGCAAACAAGGGTAAAATTAAACCATGAGAATATTCACAAGATAAGCAGAAACCTTTATCAAGCTTGGATGCATCAGGCTCTACATGTTGTAGTTTACAAACTAAATGTTTGCTCATGTTGATTTTGTACACTCTTATGAGCCAAAGATTCCTCTCAATATTTTTGTGTGTAGACTAAATTCAATAACTTGCTGCCTCGAGGAAAAGACTAAATTCCAGAAGAGTTAGATATGTTAACAATGATAAAAAGAATTTCAAGCATTATTTTATGAAAATTAAACAGAAGAAACTCTTAGATATCTACAGAAAACATTTTAAACCACTTATGAAACCGCAAATGTAACTTCAATAATTAGTTCAGCACACTGAGCTGAAGGACCACATAAAAGTAAGCAGTTAATCACTAAATGCTCCTCCATCCCTTTGAACTCCTAAACCTTGGACACTTTCTTTTACCCAAAAATCTAATCCTAAAACATCTTAAATCCATAATTTCCCTAACCAGAAGCCCACATGACAGGAGTTTGTAAACCAAATTCTCAAATCTGTTTTATAACAAAAATAAACCAAGAGGCATCTGCATAACACCAAGCAATTTTGCTAACTACTTGGTGAACAAGGTTCATTTCCTGAGGAGTCCAGACAAGGTGATCAGGAATTCCCCATTCCTGGCATGTTGGCCCACCTTTGAGCAGAATGAGAAGTGGATTCAATCTTGTGCATCCAAAACCAGAGGGAAAAAAACACACACACACACAGAGGCATTCGCAATCAAAATTACCTTATCAAACCCGAAATATGGAAAAAAATTGTCTCAAAGAAAATAAACAAATTACAATCATAAAAAGAATTTTTTTCAAAAAAAAAAAAAAAAAATTACAATAATTACAATCATAAAAAGAATTTTTTTCAAAAAAAAAAAAAAAGATCTAGTGCAAGAAATACAAAAATAAAAATAGAAATAGAAACATTGCTAAATGAAACAATAAATTTCCATAATTTTTCCTAAGAACATTGCTCATGAAATCAGAAAGAAGAAGAAAATGAAGACATAGAAGAAAGAAGAAGATAGGTCTAAACTACCAAATTGTAGTTTGGCTTGGCCAGATGTGAAGATCTAATATAACCATCACTATAGTTAAACTACAAAGTTTAAGTTTTCCATAGTAAATGATCACGAAACAATCCCCAAAATTGCATGAAATTCCTCAACTCAGCTGCAAATCACTGCAATGCAGAGCCCAAGATATGTGATGGCAGAAAAAACAACACAAATAATTACATGCCTCTCATGTGGAAAAGTTTTATTCAAACTTTTAAACAATAAAGGCTTGGAATGTGAAATAAGACATCAAAGAAAAAGAGGTAAAAAATCATATGAAAAGAGAGAAACACAACACTGAATTATAAAGAAGCAGCTAGAAATTTCAAGCTTGACCAAATTACAGTCTGACTGACTGGATGCTTTGCCATCCAAAAGCAAACCTACTATAAAATGAATGAAAATATTAAAAATCTCATAAGAAGCTGAAAACATCAAACTGAAAAGAATGAAAAGAAAAAAAAATAGATTAGCAAATTTAACACAATATAATTAGGGAAATTAATATTAAGTGAATAAAAACAAACTAAAGCAGGAAAATATTCTTGGAAACTTCCAAAAAGGCTGATATATTTGCACACACACTATAATGTGCACATGAACCATGGTCACTACTGCAATAGAAACCCATCTAAAAGAGTACCGGTAGCATCTTAATTTTTTGTTTAAAGGAAAAGCTTTATTGTGGAAACTCACTAGAACAATTGATCAAATGAACCCAAAAGTAGGAGAGAGCACAACTATTTTTCAAGTTTAAAAAATTCAAGGAAACTCAAAAAACTAAAAAGAGAGGGAAGAACTGGAAACATAGAAATTTAGAATGCATGCTGAGTAAATCAAAATGAAAAAACACATTTTAATAAGATGAAAGGAATGCTAAAAAGACAAAGATGTTGGCCTTAAAAGAGAGAAGATATTAAAAAGAAGGGTATGTCCTGGGCAGAGGAGGCAACACCTCCAAGGCAAGGCAAGACAAAAATGTAGGACTATGTGTAAGAGAAGTGAAAACTTTTAAAGCATTGAATGGAAAATGAACTGTGATGACATTCATAGGTAGCTCATCAAATGATGATTTCCTTCCTAGATTCGTTCATGAATAAAAAAAATAAGTGTTAAATTAAAACTAGTGAAACCCTTTCGGGTCTATGTCTATTGTATAAAAGTAACTCAGAAGACAGGTTGATATCACAAAATAGAAGTAAAAATAACTGAATAACAGCATAAACAACAGAAATGAAATTACATTCTAAAATATAGACACAGGTTTCACATGATGCTTATTCATGTATTACACTAAACTGATTTATTCAGCAAATAGGGAGGCAATCAGTATATACCTATCTCTTCAATTTGACAACTACAAAGTATCCACAAGATAAACCACCAGAAGATAGAACCCCAAAAAACTTTATATCTGTAAAATCTGTTTGTGTCTCTCAAAAACTCTGGATTTCTTTTATCTAATTATCAATTGAAAAAAGAACCAGAATTGACAAACCATAAAATGAGTAGACCATATGCTTCAAGTTTTAATAAAAGCAAATCAAAACAGGGATATATATAATCAAACCAATAGAGTTATAGAAATAGAAGAAACAAATACATAACAAGAAAAAAGACTTGAATTCAAAATAAACAATTTATTGCAATAACACATAAATGATTGCCATAAAACATAAATGAGAAGGTAAAATAAACCATACCAGATATATGACAGATACCCAGGAAAAGCCCCATAGCAATCGAACCCGGACCACTCCCTGCCCCCACTTGCCCAATCTGAACATTTGGATACACATGCTGTACCCCTTGTCCTGCTCCAAAAGACTCAAGAACAGATGAACTCGACCCTCCCAATCCTCCAACAGCACACAACGGACACCTGGGTACCACACCCTGGCTCAAGGCAGTTGCGGCAACTAGCGTATTAATGGAGTTCCCCAACAACCCCCCATACACCGGATTACTAAGTCCCATGTTCTGCCCAAAGAAGGGAAAATTCTGCGTTGTCACTGGCGTCTTCTGCCCTTGCTGCTGCCCCTGCAACTGTACAGCCTCTGTCATATTCTTCTTTTGCTTACTCTTCCCCTCAGCTGCTTTCTGGCCATACAACTGCTGCCCTTCAAATATTTTATGGGGTTCCTACAATGCTTTCTTCGCCCCATCCTCGGTCTTATAGAGAAAAAGGCGAACCCCCGTGAATTCCCTGTATTCACATCAAACCCTATAGGTCCAACCTCAATTTCACCATACTTCTCAAAAAAGTTCTTCAATTTTTCCCTATCAACCACCTTCGGCACGTTAGTAACATAGATCTTCCTCGCCCCCTGGTCGACATCTTTCCCAGCCCCAATAGCCGCCAGCTGACACGAGACCACCCTATCATTGATTTTCTTCCTCGGTTCTTTCAAAGCCTTAGAAGCCGCTTTCCGGGCCCTGAACACAACAAAGCCGTAGCCTTTACACTTCCCCATGCTTTTATCAACGGCGACGTGACAGTCCTCGATCTCCCCAAAGGGCTCGAAGGCAGAAACTAGGGTTCCAGAAGCTCCTGGAGATCTTTCGGATCAAACTTGGATTCAGATTCAGAGTCAGATTGATGGTTCTGGAGGTTAGGATTTGAGGAAGAAGAAGGGTTTTCACGTTTCCTGGATTTGTATTTGGATTTGGATTTGGATTTGAATTTGTGTTTGGACTTGGCTTTGAGGAATTTTTTGGGTTTTTGGGATTTTTGTAAGTGCTTTTGTTTCTTAGATTTACGGGTTTTTAGTCCCATTGTTGATGATGAAGATGAAGAAGGAACAAAGAGTGGAGAAAATCTGTGGCTTTTGGATCTAACCTAAGCCGACGGGACTCTGATCTGTTGTGTTGCCTTTGGGGAGGGAAACTTATTTAGGGCGGGATCTCCTTGGACTTTCAAATTTTATCCGATGATCCTCAAATTTAAATACTATTGCTTGTTAAGGCTAGTGTTTTCAATTTTTGACAAAATTTCCCTCATTTTATTTTTATTTTTTATTTTTCTAGTTTGAACTAAGGGAAATAAAAGGACAACTTCCTCGTACAGTGGTATTCATATTAAGATTATAAATTTTATATTCCGTAAAAGAGTAAACATATTTGTTATTTGGATTTTATGATTTGATAAGTATATGTTTTATTGTAAAATGTATATTCCTTGAGGTTTGAATCTCTCAGCATTAAAATTGTAAAAACATGTTTCAGTTGTTAATAGTTTAAATTTTAAAAGATTTTAAATTTTAAATTTAAAATTAATGAAGAAACATAAAATAAAAATTATTTTTATTTTATAATTTATTATTGAAACGTACTAAAAAAACCCCCAAAAAAAATTTGTGAGGAAGTAACGAGAACAACAGAATACAAATACTGTCAAAAGCTACCTAAAAGGCAAGCCAAAGCTTTTGAACAACAAAAATACGAAAATTAGAATGTTTTGAGGTTCAAAATGCTCATTGCAATTATTAAAACTTACTCAATGAATGATTGTAATAAACATCTTAGGCATCAAGACTAAGGTTGTCAAAATCAAGATTTTACCTAAAATCGTTTTGCTTAGATGAAATCGAAATCGTAAAATCGAATTGATAAAATCGAGATTTTACAAAATTTAATATATAATATATAATAAATTATATAAAATCAAAATTAAACAACAATAATTCAAATTTAGAGTTAGAAACTTAAAATTAGCTAATTAAAATTTAAATATCCAACAACACAAATAAATTAAACAAAGAAGATGACTAAAGAAGATGACTTAGATTTAGAATTTTAGATGGTTAACTCAAATTTGTCCCGAATTCTAGATTAAAACGTTGATTTGTGGTTAGGTTGCGTGTGTCGTGAGCTTTTAAAATAAAAAATGAACTTAATTTATGAGTTATCTAGTCAAAACTCACTAACTCAAGATAAAAAACCCAAAAGAAAATAAATAAAAAGTCCAACTGACAAATAGGGGGTAAAATCAAGATTTTATCTAATTTCATAGTAAAATCTTGATTTTATGTTTTTGACTCCAAATTTTATGAATTTTCAATTTTTGTATAGATTTTATACGAAATACCTTTTTAAAATCGTAAAATCGTGAGATTTTACGATTTTAATTTAGATTTTGACAACACTAATCAAGGCATCCAAATTTTTTAAACTTTCTTTGAATTATATAGATAATTGTAATAGATATTCTAAGTGCCAAAACTTCTTAATTTTTTGAATTATCTGTGAACTATACCTAGTTAAATTGAACACAACCAAAGTAATGAAAAAAAATAAAAAATGGAAACCCTCACTAGAGGAGTGGCGAAGCTTTCTAAGACAACTAAGGCCCCCAGGCCCCCCACAAGGGAGAAACAAAGCTGTACTAAGACGACACATAGACTCAACCACTTAAAACGAATTTAAGATCAACCCAATAAAAATTTTTATGAGTGTGTTAATTAATTTTAAATTTGGTTTGCGCCCCAATTTACATTAATAAATATCAAAATTAACTGTTCCTTTGATAAATAAAAATTGGATGAGAAAAAAATGTAGTATTCTGTAAAAATTTAACAATTAAAACACATGAATTTTTTTATTTTTTGCAGTACTAGAAATAATTAATTTTTGAGGTTGTGAAAGTAATCAATGTAGACACATGTAGTTAGGGTTGTGAAAATATTTAATTGTTCTTAATTATTCTTATTTATTTAGTGTGTGTATAATTTCAAAACTTTGGACTCAAAAAAAAAAAAATGCAGATTAAACTAAAAAAACCATTTTCTTAGAAAAATTTTAACAAAATTGACAACCCTATTTTTCAGGTATTAAAATTACTGAAATATTTGTTTGGCGAAAAATTTACTGAAATATTTTTCATATAGAGTTTCATCAATAGCAGTTTAATAAATTTATCTATTTGCATAAAATCAAGACAACATAATCATTAAAATATTTGAATTTTCTATAAAAAGATTTAAATACCCAATGAATTAATATGTAAAAAAGAATAATTATAGTATTTAAATAATTTTATAAATAATTTTAACATTTTAAACATCAATACATTTTGATTTTCACAAAAAAAAAAAAAGAAATCTGCCTTTCAAAACACAAATAGCGACACCTGATCCTTCGGATCAATTAGCACCCTACCAGTTTGAAGTGCAGTCCTCCTCTCCCCGAAACTCAGCCCTCGATAACTTGTTCAAAAAAAAAAAAACATTTTAATTTTCACATTTATTTAATAAATTTAAAGTGTATAGTCCAAAGTTTCCTTTAAGAACACTTCTTGGTATTTTAATTT